TTTGGCAATACTCCGGGAGAAGGGACAGAAGCAAGTTTTTACTTTCACCTGGATACACCAAGGCTCCAACCTGGCATGAAGCTGCCTTTAAGCAAGTCCAGAGTGCTTCTCTTTCACCACTAACTTTGGGAAACCTTCACACAAGAGAAATTAGGGGAAGGGTCTCCAAGCTGTGTAGAGCTGTAACGTCATGCATTAACAGTCTAAGTGTAAGGCACCATCCCATCTAGATATTTCTTTTTTTAAAAGCCTGCAACCATTGTCTGAGACTTCACCTTATACCACCTAAGGATTTTTGAACCTTTGTTATGGTGTTCAGAATCATCACATGTGAGTAACCTAACAAGTTTACTTGCAGGGTTTTAGAGAGCTTCCTGGGAGAGTTTTTAATTGGCAGACCAACTCTGCGTTATGAAGATGACTGCAAATGTGACATGAAGGCTGCCAATGTCAACACTGCATTGCGGGAATCCATTGCAGACAACCACACTGCCTGGAGACAGACAGTCAAGTTGTGTATCCATAGCCGTGACCAGAGAAGAAATGACCACCGTGAGAAACGCAGACAGAAGAAACGGCACGGTGCATCCGCAGCAGTACAACCGGACACCTTCATCTGCCCTAGCTGCAACAAAACATGTCTCTCCTGCATTGGTCTCCACAGCACCAGCAAGCACTGTAATTCTCCAACAGTTTGTCCTCACCCCCTAAGGTACAGTGACCCATTGTCTCTCAAGACAGACAGGTGCCAAGCATGGATAGCAGCAACATTCTGATTTCCCCCCCTAATACCAGTGAATTTGATCTATTAAAAATGGTTGTTGTTTTCAAAATGAAATGAAATGATTTCAGCAACTGACTCTGAGCAAGTGGCTTGTTTGGCTCAAAAAGGGCGCTGATGAACCAACCCAGAAACATCATGGATTCAAAAGAGAAAATCCCTTAGCTCTCTCCAGATCTACTGTAAATAGTGAACCTCTTTTGGGGTTTTTTTTGTTTTTTGTTTTAAAAATAAAGCTCTGTAATGCATGTTTCCTAAGAAATTATGAATGCTTAATAAAAATGAAAGGCTTGTTGTATCAATAAGACAGTGTGGCTGTTGGATTAGCAATATCTCCACCCCCGGGAACTTTAATTACCTGTTTACTTTATTCTTTTTCTTTTCTCAGTTTTACAGCAAAGAAAAGACAAGACAAAAAATAACTGAAACCAGTAAAAGCAAACTCACAAAGCTTTCAATTAAAAGGACAGTAACCCTTAAAAGTCTGCATAGTGCTTTACCTCTCCAGACTGGGCAGGCTGCCACTGCAATGATGTCCTGTTGCAAAAAGACTACCAACCTATGAGGTCTGAAAAATCATGAAAGGGTGGTGCAAGACCCTATATTGTGATATAGACAAAGCGATTTGGAATGCTTACTGAGGAAATAGGATCCTGGGTTTTGCCTCCATCCAATGTGCTTCTAAAGTTTGATTCCTCCTCCTACATTATTTCCACCACCACCATCATCAACAACAACACACTGGCTAACTGGTGTGAACTAGGACTAACTGGTGTGAATTGGCTAACTCAGATATGTGGAGGGAGATTTATTTGGTGGTAGGATACTAACTGCTAGAATATTTCCCACACAACACTGCTAAGCTCCTGAACAGAATTTGGATCAATATCTCCACTTTGTGGAATAAAGGAGGAACAGCACTTCCATAATTCTGTGTTTTATTCTGCTTTTCTCTTGTACATGGCTTTATGCTCTGAAGCAATCTATAAATTTGTAGAATACTAATACTGCAGTCCAGGGGTGAGGAACCCGTGACACTCCAGATGTTGGTGGACTCTAATTACTGTCAGCCCAAGCCAGCCAGGAATGATGGTGACTATAGAGTCCATCACATACAGTAACATTTGTGCAAACAAATCAGGAAGGACATGCACTGTTATATAACCACCCCACAAGCAAATCAGAACAAATGCTCAATGAAGAGCAGATATTGTATAACCTCTGCACAAGCAAATCAAGAAGAGTGCTAAATGAACAGATCGTCTAGGGGAGCCCTTAGACTAAAGAAGCCACTTTCCCTCCATCTATATGAGCTTGAATATTTCTGTGCAGCTGCACCTCCAACTTCACCCCCAATGAACTATGGACCCCACCTTGATAGAATAAGTTGTCAAAACCAGGCAAAGGGTCTGCAAAATTCAAGCAGGCAGATGCAAGGGAGGTTTGATTGCTTTCTCACTGAAGCTAGTGCAGCATATAGCTTGAAATCAAAGAGTTAAAAGAACCAGTTACTGTATGTAGAAAGACCTTTGCCTAAGAAATCTGCTGCGGTTTATTCTTAATGCTTGTTGCTAATTTTAGAAGTATTTTTATTCCCCTTGCACCATTTAAATACCAGGTGGACTCTGACCACCATAAATGCATGTACAGTGGTACCTCGGGCTAAGAACTTAATTAGTTCTGGAGGTCCGTTCTTACCCTGAAACTGTTCTTAATCTGAAGCACCACTTTAGCTAATGGGGCCTCCTGCTGCCGCTGCGCCACTGCTGCACAATTTCTGTTCTCATCCTGAAGCAAAGTTCTTAACCTGAGGTACTATTTCTGGGTTCGCGGAGTCTGTAACCTGAAGCGTATGTAACCTGAAGCATCTGTAGCCCGAGGCACCACTGTAGTTTTATGTTTTGATTACATAGAAATCCTGTTTGGGTGTTGCCTTCTATGGGATCTAGTCCATATCACACCCACAGAGCATCATGCTTACACAGCTCAGTAGATGGTATAGAAAGCTGTCTAGAAAGCAGAAGGTTGGGGAAAGCTAACATTCTAACCAGTGCCAGATTTAGGGCAGTGTGGAAGGAAGGAAGGAAGGAAGGAAGGAAGGAAGGAAGGAAGGAAGGAAGGAAGGCTCTATTTATGCAGGTACCTACTGAGAAGATTCATAAAAAGCAACTGCACCAAAATGAAGTTATGTGAAAATAAGAAATATTTAAGGGGCGGTGCCAAATTATAGCTTCGCTCAGGGCGACATATTACCAAAGTCTGCCCCTGTTCTAACACACGGGTAGAAAGTCCAGAGCAATAATTGAAGGCGCTGATGTGAGAAAGTACTGTGCCTTAGTGTGAAAGATCCCTCTCTGAAGTCTCTCCTGGGATTTACACATTTCATAGCTGCTTAATGGCACTGGTGGGTGTGATTTGCATGCTCCTGTGTTTCAGGATGCTTGAGTAAGGCTTGTGGCATCCTATTGTTCCCAGAAGCTGACACTTGGAAAAGTGAAGTAAAGCAACAAGCTTTTACAGGCAAGAGTCTCCTCCCTCACCTTCTTCAGCATCTCTCAGGCCCTTTTGAGAATGCCCAGGTGGATTTTACCTCTTGTATTCAAAAGGTGTTCGGGATTAGAAACACCTCTGAATCCATATAACTAATTTTTTTAGTCTTTAAGAGAGAGAGGTGGAGACAGTGCCTTCTGCAATGCTGGTTGTATAAGTTGGTTGTTGTTAGAAATGAAATAATGGCCCCCAAGACTTAATACCTTGAGAGTCTTAAAAAGAAAACTATCTTGGACAATATTGGTAAATTAGGAAGGCTTTATTAGTTCATTTGCGCAGATGGGTGCGTTAGCATGGGATGCCAACCAGCAGCACACTGATCGAGAATTATACATGGGTTTTAAAAGTCTGTAGTCACTCTCTCTCTCTGCTCCCTCACAGAGAAGATGTAGAAAATCCCAATTGGTCAAAGACAAGCTGTAAATGACATAGGAAGATTTTCAAGCTAAGATTCTGGCATAATTTATAGCATAGGATTTGCAGCGAGTCAAGGAACCTGTCTGATGTATACATTTGGCAATCGTACAATACCGGAGACCTTGATCCTCAAAGCATGGCCCTTAGATAAGGGTGCTTCCCTTGAGTTAGCCAGCTTCCCAGCTTCCTAGCTTCCTACAGCAGGTCAGCTGGTCAGGTCAGGTCAGGTTGGCTTAGTTCACTCACAGTTCACTCTTTACAAGTATTTAGCCTGGGAGACTTACTTTCTGGTGTTACTGTCAGTGTTGGGGTGTCCCTATTAGAATACCCTAGTTTTAGCTTTTGAAGTATATTCTGTCTTTGGTCCCTTAAGAGCAATCATACAAACTTACATTTTTCAAAGCATTATTCTCTATTGCTCAAAAGTGTCTCTGCTCTGGGCTATTTTGAGACGTGCAGGGTAACCCGTCCCCAAGGTAACTGTCTGTCTCTTATCTTCAAGTTCATAAATCCAGTTGTCTTGTCCTTTCTAAAGCAGTTTTCAGAGTTTCCCTATTATCACAGTATTAAGAATTCTTAGCTGTCTTCTGTTCAGACAAACTCTCTCTACTCAGCTTTTAGGGTGCCTTTTTAGGTCCCCGCATAAATAGTACTATCTGAGGACAGACAGTCTTTTATGGATTTTGATTGCCTTTAAAATCATTATCTATAAAGCACCTTTAAATTCCATTGTATACAATAAGCAGCTCTGTACATTTTTTAGCCACTAGGGGTCTCTCTTGGACAGGTTTAACTCCTTGCCTTTCCTGGAAACAAAGCTGCAATGTGCCGATCAGAAGGTCGGCGGTTCAAATCCCCGCGATGAGGTGAGCTCCCATTGCTCGGTCCCAGCTCCTGCCAACCTAGCAGTTTGAAAGCACACCAAAAAAAGTGCAAGTAGATAAATAGGTACCGCTCCGGTGGAAAGATAAACAGCGTTTCCGTGTGCTGCTCTGGTTTCGCCAGAAGCGGCTTAGTCATGCTGGCCACATGACCCAGAAAAACTGTCTTCAGACAAACATCGGCTCCCTCAGCCAGTAAAGCGAGGGACCCCACAACCCCAGAATCGTTCACAACTGGACTTAACTGTCAGGGGTCCTTTACCTTTTAGCTTCAAAAGAAGTCTGCTTCCTTTGCCAAGTCTGACTGTTCAGCGGTCAGAGTGAACCTTTTACCTTTCCGTAAAAAAGATAGCTGCAATTTCCTTGTGTTTTTGTAGCTTGAGTGAATACTGGAAGCTCTGAACATGTTAGAACTGAAAGGCATTTTGTTACTTGATTAGGATATACATACATTGGCATTAAAACCTCCCTCCTCTTTCAGAAGTTCTAATCACCTTTTACTTTATCAAAATAAAACTGAGTGATCTCAGCACCTCCTTGATGACTCAAACGAATCGGCTGGTTTGGCTCAGTCAAGGTGCTTAGGAACCAACCCGGGAATGCTGCAGATTCAAAGCTGCCAGTCTCTGTGCTGCTGCCACTTTTCCAAAAGAAAGTGAAGTCCTTGTGTTCCTTGCCATCGTTGTAGAGATCCATAATGGCTTTACCCTATTTTAGATAAAAAAGCATACAAAAGGTTTACTAGAAAGAAGGGTTGTGCTGCATCACAAATGAACGCCATCAGTTGCCTGGTAGAAAGCGAGACTTGGGGCGAAATCCCAATGATTGTAACCAAAGCATATAAAAATTCAAAGTTTACAGGGAGCCTCAAGTTTAAATCGGGATTGTGTCATGAATACACCAAGCATTCAGCCATGAGATAAGCCTTTCATTCAAAGGATGGGAGGACCTGTGGCCCTCTAGACATTGTTGGACTACAATTCCTATCATCTCTGACCATTGGCTGTCCTGCATGGGACTGATGGGAGTTAAAGTCCAACAAGATCTGACCCACCACTGGTTCTTCAGCTTCAATTCCTGTCTGCCTTTCATAAGTTTGAATCTTTGCTTATATACCAAAACAGGAATTGTTTCACTCCTGAATTTAAAAAACAAAACAGGAAATAGAACCAGAAGCTGGATAATTAAGGAGAAATTCATAACTAATGGAGAAGAGTGCAGAACCTACAATCAGGAAATGTTTGCTTTCACTAAAAGGACAGAAGCAACCTGTAAAAACCTCAGTAGATCTTTGCCTCTCCCAAGAGACAGGCTAGGAAGACAAAGGAGAGGGAAGAAGCCCAGAAGGATAACAGAGAGAAGAATGGAATGCAGTGATTAAGGAAAAAAAGAGTGAGCAAACAGCAGAGAATATCTAAAGTCTTTATCGTGGTGGATGCATCTAAACAAGCAGAAGAAATTTGAAACAATCGAATGTGGCTTTGAACCAGAAGTGAAACCCACCTCCAAAGTCAGCTGAGGTTGACCACCAGATTCACCACAGGAGAGGGTTTGTGCTCCATCTTGGGTGCCCAAAAAGATGGGGAATTTGTTTTCATCTATCCCTCTTCTGGGGGTCAGGGCCAACAAGTAATCTGGAAGCAAAAAACAGGCAAAGATCAGTGTGATAAGAGTGGGGTGTGACCATGGAAAGTTAAGGTGCACCATTTCTGACCCTACTTGAAGACAGTGCTGCTGTATCAGATACTTCCTGACACCTGGTTACCCACTCCCAGAATTTGCACAAGTGTTCAATCAGTAACAGTGTAGGTCGCAGCAGAGAGATGTCAAGGGATCATAGCCATTGTTACCGGGTGAGTTGCCATCTTTGGGGGCTGCTACCAGCATGTCGTTCTTCAGGAACAGGAACTTCTGGTTAATATCCCAAACCCTGAAGAGCCATGGCGTTTCTATGGGCCTTAAATGATCTGTGATAAAAAGAAGTAACACAAATTTATCAACACACAAGAAAAAATGGAATATTCTAAAGAAGGAACAAGCAACTTTTCAGACATATCTTTTTTCTTCTGTGTTGGAGCTGCAATTCTTTTCTCCCCCTTTTGCATGAAGTGGTGATAGCCATGGTTGGCACAACACATTTTCCATGGTGGCAACACTGTGGAGTTTCTGATGTGAGTTTAGGACTTCCTCTATCCTTAAGATATTGCGCATGCAAGTCATTAAATGTGTTCCTAGTGTATCTTTTTTCATTTGGTATTAAGAATACAGGTTTATATATTGCCAAAGAGACAGCCTAGTTGCAAGCACTATTGACTGGCTGTTTTCAGCTTTTATTCAATGGGATCCAACCTGGCTGAAACCCAAGGACACTAGTTTGACTGGTTTCTCCAGGTGAAATCCATCAACTCCCCCTGCTGGTGTGTGTATCAGTTTCCTTTTGACTAAAGGCCCCTGCTTTTTAGAGGAGTTTTGATTCTGACCATGTTCTTGCCCACCTGAACCATGGGAGAAAGAGATAAGCAGAATAACCTAGGGCACAGAGCACGGATGTATGCACATACGAATGACTGAATGACTGACTGACTGAATGAATGAATGAGTTTAGCTAATGAAGCAGGATATCTATTTGGTTATCTGCAAATATATTTGCACACAATATCGTCCATGAAATATGTACTTTAAAAAAACAGTCCTGATTGTTTACCACCCCCATCCCACCCCCCAAAATTACCCAATAATTCAGGATAATAATTCATGCATCTGGTGAAATGGGCTATAGTTCACGAAAGCTTATATTGTTAGGAAAATTGTCCAACAGGTACCACTCGTTCTTTGCTGAAACAGACTAACACGGCTAGATTTTGGGGAACAAGTCCTCCTTGCTTTTATGTTAAACCACCAACATGGAAAATATCCCCATGGGAAATGTCGTTTCACTCAGCTGGTGTACATGCATACGGTGACGTAGCATGGTTTGCTGGTTTCCAGGGCAGGTGGGAGCCAGGTGGACGCACGCACACTAGGGCGTGGGATGCGGAAAATGAAGGGAACCTGCCCCAGAAAGCCAGCCTTCGCTGTTGATGCTGCACTGCAATGCCTGCCTGCCCACGTTGGGTGGAAGCCAGGTAGCAAATTGTGGCCCTTGGCAGGTGAATCCCCCTGATGCCCTTGGAGAGGAGTGCCAGGCTTTGCTCGGGTTGCCCCTTGTCTGCTTCCCTTCATCTGTGCCCACTCACCATTGGGAGAGCATACTGAGTGAGGAGTAGGTGAGCACTAGGCGTTGGTCAGGCGGCCATTCAGAGAGGAGGTTGGCCATTTAGGGAGGGGCCTGGAATGTAGCGGCAATGCCAGGTCAGACTCTGGGGCCCAGATAGCCCTGCAGCAGGCAGGGAAGGATGAGGAGCTGAGGGCAGGGCCCACCAGGACACGCCTGGACAGGAATCCCCGCAGAAGCCAGCACCTGCATGGGGGTGCTTGGTTTGTGCCCCCTCAAAATTGTGCCCCCAGGAGACACAGCCTCCATGCCCCCCAGGATGTCATGCCCCTGTGCGCCTATATGGATAATGGAAAATCTAATTTAATTTAAGGCTCACTGCAGGTTTTCAGAACTTGTCTTGGGCAGGAAATAGAAAAGCAAAACGTTGTTTTCACCTGGCTTAGGAAAGTGATGGAATAAATCTCTCATTTTCTGGTCCGCAGTCATCTTGTGGGGCTTCTCCCTTAAAATCTCTGTGTCTACTTTCTCCATTGCTTCCCAAGGATTGGTTGAGATTCAGGCTACAAGCTCACTCTTCTGCAGTTGTAGCTATTAAAAGAGAGGGATGTAAAATGTTAGGGGCTGCAAAAATCCAAAGTTCCATTGATTGCCCTTCTGCACAATATCCCAGGATCAACATAGATGCATATGTACATAGATAATTTTATTCATAAGCCACCTTTATATAGTTCAAACCATGCTCAAGGCGGTTAACAACATTTAAAAACCACATAATCACAAAATAACAACCAAACTGAACAAGTTCCACCTAAATCATAATAAGATCTAAAATAAAATATCAGTATCAATAAAAAAATCAGTATCAATAATAGCAACAACCCATTGCCTAAACACAGTGGCGTAGCGTGGGGGGTGCCAGGGGTGCCGGCCGCACCGGGCGCAACATTTTGGGGGGCGCGTTTGGCCGGCCCCCCTCGAGGAAGCGGGAACCTCTCCAAGACACAGCGTGCCGTCGGTAGAGGAAAAAAGCCGCGCAGCAGCAGCAGCAGCAGCAAAGTCGGGAGGAGGAGGAGGTGGAGCGAGCCTGCTAATTCCTTGCTGGGAATTAAGCGGCTCAAGACTCTCTCCACTGGCCGCCTGGGTAGTGAGCCGAGCCGAGCAGGGAGTCTGGCGAGGGGGCGGGAAGAGACTTTCCCCCCTTTTTTCCACCTCGCCTGGTCAAAAAGGAGAGCGGAGTCTCCTCAGGGCGCCCTCAGGCAGGGCAGGGAAAGGCAAGCAGAGCGAGGAGGAGAGAGGGGGGGGGAGCAGCCAGGAAACGCCGCGGTGTGGAGGAGGAATCAATTTAGGAGAGAAAGCGAAAAGCCTTGGAGAAAGGGAAAAAAGGAAAGAAAAGAGGCAGCTCCAGGAGAGCGCGGGGGAAAGAGAAGCCTCGCTGCTGCTGCTTGGGAGAGTAAATTACTGTACTTGCCTTGCCCCGGGTTAGGGGGCGCAAATTACTTGCCTTGCCCCGGGTGCTGATAACCCACGCTACGCCGCTGCCTAAACAATACCCCAGGACAAGCCTCAGCTTTTGTAGTTGGAGTCCGCCCTGGCCCCACCTCCCAGGCCAGGTGGAAAAGGCCTGCAAGGCAGGAAGCAAGTCTTCCAGGACTCACAGCCAATATAAATTAGCCAGGGTGAGGCGGGGCTAATTACACAACCAATGTCCAGGAATAAGAATACAACAACAGAGAATCAGACGTTATGCCACTGCTATGAATTGATGCAATATAGCAGATCACTAAATCAGATCTTCCACCTTATTGAAATTTAAAACAGATACACAGGCTACCAGTTTCTATCAGGATAGAGGCTCTGAAGGTGAATTTTTAATCCTTTCCCTTGTGCTCAATCAAGCTTAACCCTCCTTCTCCAAACATTTGTATTACCCTCTTTAAGGGGAGAGGGAATGAAGGACAGACCTGCTGGGCTGGGCTGGGCTGGGCTAGGGAGGCGATATATCTCTTTCAAAAACATATATCCTGCACGAAAGAACATTACAAAAGAAACAAATGTCTCTGCCTTTGTATTACAAGAAATTCTCAAATAACAATAAATTCATTTTTAAAAATAGCAATGCCACTTACAGCCAAAGTAGAACGAGAATAAACTAAACAGTGGTTCAGAATGTTTAGAAAGGAGAAACAAAAAAGACATCTGAAGTAGTATTGTTAATTACAATTAATTGACATTAAAATCAAGGAAATGTGCCTCCCTCAGCTTCACTGCCCCCCACCCACCAAAAGACTATAATGATAGGTGGGGGAAATGGGTCTGAGGAAAGGCTAAACAGAGATTTCCTGCCTCTGAGATAATTTGGCATTTGAAGCAGACAATTTAGCATAGTCTTCCCTAATCTGAGGCCCTCCACATGTTGTGGACCACAGCTCCCATCAGCCTCAACCAGGATACCCAATGATCATGGATGATGGAAACTGTAATACAACAATATCTGGAAGGCAACTAGTTGGGAAAGGCTATCATCTCAACTAGTTGCCTTCCAGATATTGCTGGATATCTGGATAGAAGGTTCAGAGAAATAATTGAGGAGATGCTACCTGTCCTGGTGTGAGGAAGTCCTGTGCCTGGCTATGAATTGTCTTCTGAGATTTACACAGCATCTTATAGCTTAGTCAGACCAGTGGGTGTGGTTTACCGTATATGCTCTATGGCACCTTACATGCCACAAACACTAATCCAAGTCTTGCAGCAGCAGCCAGCTGTTCCGAGAAGCTACAAATGCTGTGATAGTTCAAAACTGAGGGCTCCTCCCAACATCCTTTTTATTCTGCATTGGTGATCATTTATGCTCATGATGGTACTGAGGTGGTCATATGCAACCCCAGTTTCAATACTCTTTGAGACTAGGGACAGAGGAGAAATTTGATTCAGTGCTCATATAAACCTGAATCTTATCAAATTTGCACATTCCAAACAATATGTGAACTGAAACAAAGCTATCCTACATTTGCGGTTCTCCAGATTTCGCAATGCAGTTCTCCATCCAATCAAACAATGTTTGTGGAATTGCATATATTACAGGAAAGTGTCAGAATAATGGACACATTAGTAAAATGGCCTTGGGGAGCCTTTTTTCACCTACTTCATACTGTTGGGAGTTTTGTGTTGGAGTGGCATTTTTGGTTGGTTTTACTGGCTTTTAGACTGAGCATGTAAGGAAAAAGGATGCATACCTGAGGTATTAATGGGTTAAGGGGTTTATGGGGTGTTATGGGGAGGGGCAGTACCAGCGGTGGTGGATCCATGGTGCTCCTTTTGGGGTAGTTTGTCCACCTTTGGTCCCCACTCCATTCAGCTGTCACCTGTAACTCCTAGAAGCTGTCAGCATGCAACAGCAACCACACCCTGGGAACAGTTTCGACTAGCCAGTTAAACCAGGTGAGGGTAACTGATAGACCTCAAACCCACAGTGAGTGCATGTGAAGACAGACTCTGGCAGATGAGACCAATAGTGGGTCTATGTGCTGCATGTGCTGTAAGAGAAATAAGGGGCAGTTGGCACTCGTCAGTCTGGGAAGGTAGCCCATCTAGGAGAAGGAAAACACTGATCCTAAACGTACACACTCTTGCAAAATATTTTTGGGAGAGGAAAAGCCCAAGGAGGTTTGACGGTGCCTTGTACGCCTCCTTCTGGCCACTCCTACAGCCAAGCTGTACTGCTCTGTTTCCCTTTGGGTCACATCTGTGAGGCCAAGAGAGGGGTCTTCTCATCTGGGCAGCCCAGGACCTCCATACACATCCTGGGGAGGTCACTTCTGAGCTGCTAACACTGACTTTAGCCCCAGAGACAAACTCCATTGTTTCTCGAAACAGATGGATGCCACAATTGGGTTTAGGGCACCCTTAGGTTACCCAACACCAGTTTAGGTTTGGCGGCTCCCTTGGGGGGCCCTTTAGACTTGGCATACACACCAGGCAGAACACAAAATCATCTGTGCCATGGGGCACTTGTCAAATTCACTTACCTAAGGAGGAATAACTCCTTCCAATCATTTGTTGGCCACAGGATGAGCCTGTAAACATGCCCAAGAGTGGAGGGGGTTGATTCCTCCTGCCTTAGGAAACTGCCCTGCCTGGACTATCTTTTGATTTGGTTAATTGTTGTCATTTGGTTGTTTAGTCGTGTCCGATGCTTCATGACCCCATGGACCAGAGCACGCCAGGCACTCCTGTCTTCCACTGCCTCCCGCAGTTTGGTCAAGCTCATGTTAGTAGCTTCGAGAACACTGTCCAACCATCTCGTCCTCTGTCGTCCCCTTCTCTTTGTGCCCTCCATCTTTCCCAACATCAGGGTCTTTTCCAGGGAGTCTTCTCTTCTCATGAGGTGACCAAAATATTGGAGCCTCAGCTTCAGGATCTGTCCTTCCAGTGAGCACTCAGGGCTGATTTCCTTCAGAATGGATAGGTTTGATCTTCTTGCAGTCCATGGGACTCTCAAGAGCCTCCACCAGCACCATAATTCAAAAGCATCGATTCTTCAGCGATCAGCCTTCTTTATCGTCCAGCTCTCACTTCCATACATCACTACTGTGAAAACCATGGCTTTAACTATACGGACCTTTGTTGGCAAGGTGATGTCTCTGCTTTTTAAGATGCTGTCTAGGTTTGTCGGTTACATACAGAATATGCAACAGATTTTCTCATTTGGATTGTTGAAAAAGCCCATTAGGAAGACTCAGCCACTGCTTGGGATTGGTTGGTTGGTTGGTTGGTTGGTTGGTTGGTTGGTTGGGAGACACAAATAAATAAGCCTCATCTCCAGTGCTTTTTTTAAAATAAAAATAAAAAATGGTGCTGGTACTCACCATGAACTTGATACAGTAAATGACACACTTTTGACATTTGAGGGGGGGGCAGGTGCCTGTACTTTGTACCCATGAGTACCCCAGAAAAAAACACTGCTCATCCCTTTTGCTACATCAGCCCCCAGCATTCATAGGACTGGAAATCAACCTACAAGTGCTGTGTGCCCCACATAACAGATGAACACAATTTGGACATTCCTAATCTCATGTTTACATAAGTGGAACTTGCACACTCATAACTGAAATTAGAGCTGACTGCACCCAAAAACCTTTACGGAAATATCAGCTGAAGCCCTACTTGGTATGTAAATAATAACCAACAACTCCGTACACATTGTTAAAACTCATTTGATTACAACACCACCTTTCCTGTATTTCCACAGCACATGAATAATATTAGCTGACGTATCTCTGATCATTGCTAAATTGAGTCTCATATAATTTGCTTACTAATTTTAAGAAACAGAAATTAGTACTAGTGCTGATTAGTACAAGTTTGAAACAGGATACAAATTTCTTTTTAAAATACTGTATCTCTTCCATACAAAATATAGCTGGACAGAAGATTCCCCATAACCTCACCATGTTAGATGAGCAGTTTGCACTAATGTCTTGGTGGGGGGTATCACTTCAAAACTATAGTCTTCAGCTTTCTTCCACACTTAATCTCAAACCATAACTGATACATATATGTCCTCCTTTTGCCTTAACTTTAAGAAGAGCCCAGCTGAATCAGACCAGCTCTCCTATAAAGTAGGCCAACCATATTCACTAGGGAATCCTAGAAGCAGGACAATGACCCTCCCCCAATTTTGATTCCAAATAAATGGCACTCAGTGACATAATACCTTTAATATAGAGGTCCCATTTAGATTTTTAAGATCTATTGTGCCTTTAATTAAAAGCTTTCTATGTTTTCAGGTTTTACCTGTTTTATGTGTTTGTCCCTGATGGGGATAAGTTATGAATTGTCCCTTAGTTAGCTGGCTTTTCAAAGGAACAGAATGGCCTTTAATTAGTGGTTTCCATTCTTTTTGCTTTCTTTTTCATTTTGTGGGGAAATTGTGTCATTTGCTGTAAAAGTGAGAAAAGAATAATGGAAGCCAATAATTAGAGCCCCCTTGGAGGGAACAGAAACTTCCTCAGGACAATTCACTGCTAATCCAACAGCCATTGGTACAATCGCCCTTTAAAAAATAGATTGATCAAGCTTTCCTTTTCAATTTAGCATTCATATTTTCTTACATTTGTGTGTTTTATTTTTTAAAATGCAGTAACTTCACTTTCTACAGTAACGCCACCCACGTCCCTTGTTGTCCTCCTACCTTCATCCTAAAGCCTCATTAGAACTTGCCCAACTTTGGGAAGGAGGTAGGATGGATCTAGGTCTCACGCCTCCTCCCCAAAGCCTGGTGCCTCCCTTACCCAGCTTTGGGCTGGAAGAGGGTTAAATTTTGAAGGTCTGTCCCTGCATCAGGATGATGGGAGTTGTGTTCAACATCTAGAGGGCCACAGGTTCCCCACACCTATTCTTAAAAGATAGTCGAATCAACCTGCCTCAGCAGGATGGAAAAAGGCTCCCCAAGGCCAATCAGAGACTCTTCCAAATATTCATTCTCTCTCACACACACACACCCCAAGCAGGCAACTGGCCCAAAGTCCACACTGCACAGGGAAGGAGGGCACTGCAAAAGAGGAGTGTGGGCAGAAATTTAGTTCTCTACATTTGCAGGAATTTGCATTTTTAAAAAATTCCTCATGAAGATTCACTAGTATTTTACTGCAAATTTATCCCTCTAAACACATTTTCTATGCAGTTATGACTAGTGTACACATTTTTGTGATCAATTTCCCCCGATATAATGCATTTCTGTAGATTTTTACTAATGTGTCCATTATACTGCACACTTTCCTGTAATATATGCAATTCCACAAACATTATTTGATTGGATGGAGAACTGCATTGCGAAATCTGGAGAACCGCAAACGTAGGATAGCTTTGTTTCAGTTTGCATATTGTTTGGAATGTGCAAATTTAATAAGATTCAGGTTTATATGAGCACTGAATCAAATTTCTCCTCTATCCCTAGTCACAAACAGTATTGAAACTGGGGTTGCATATGACCACCTCAGTACCATCATGAGCATAAATGATCCCCAATGCAGAATAAAAAGATGTTGGGAGCAGCCCTCAGCTTTTGAACTATCACAGCATTTGTAGCTTCTCGGAACAGCTGGATGCTGCTGCAAGACTTGGATTAGTGTTTGTGGCATGTAAGGTGCCATAGAGCATATAAACCACACCCACTGGTCTGACTAAGCTATAAGATGCTGTGCAAATCTCAGAAGACAATTCATAGCAAGGCACAGGACTTCCTCACACCAGGACAGGTAGCATCTCCTCAATTATTTCTCTGAACCTTCTATCCAGATATCCAACAATATCTGGAAGGCAACTAGTTGAGATCATGGCCTTTCCCAACTAGTTACCTTCCTGATATTGTTGTATTACAGCTTCCATCATCCATGATCATTGGGTATCCTGGTTGAGGCTGATGGGAGCTGTGGTCCACAACATGTGGAGGACCTCAGATTAGGGAAGACTATGCTAAATTGTCTGCTTCAAATGCCAAATTATCTCAGAGGCAGGAAATCTCTGTTTAGCCTTTCCTCAGACCCAATTCCCCCACCTATCATTATAGTCTTTTGGTGGGTGGGGGGCAGTGAAGCTGAGGGAGACATATTTCCTTGATTTTAATGTCAATTAATTGTAATTAACAATACTACTTCAGATGTCCTTTTTGTTTCTCCTTTCTAAACATTCTGAACTGCTGTTCAGTTTATTCTCATTTTACTTTGGCTTTAAGTGGCATTGCTATTTTTTAAAATAAATTTATTGTAAGCTATTTTGAGATTTTTTTGTAATCTGTAGTTCTTTTGTGCAGGAAGAAATACACCACCTCCCCAGCCCAGCCCAGCACAGCCCAGCAGGTCTGTAACAAGGGGGGGAAAATGTTGCCCTTCGTTCCCTCTCCCCTTAAAGAGGGTACAAATGTTTGGAGAAGGAGGGTTAATCTTGATTCAGCACAAGGGAAAGGATTAAAAATTCACCCCTAGAGCCTCAATCCTGATAGAAACTGGAAGCCTGTATATCTGTTTTAAATTTCAAGAAGGTGGAAACTCTGGTTTAGTGATCTGCTCTATTGCATCAGTTCATACCAGTGGCATATCATCTGATTCTCTGTTGCTGTATTCTTACTCCTGGAGATTGGTTGCATAATTAGCCCCGCCTCACCCTGGCTAATTTATATTGGCTGTGAGTCCTGGAAGACTTCCTTCCTGCCTTGCAGGCCTGTTCCACCTGGCCTGGGAGGGTGGGGCCAGGACGGACTCCAACTACAAAAGCTGAGGCTGCTGAAGGACCTTGTCCTGGGGTATAGTTAAGGCAGTGGGTTGTTGCTATTATTGATACTGATTTTTTGATTGATACTGATATTTTATTTTAGATCTTATTATGATTTAGGTGGAACTTGTTCAGCTTGGTTGTTATTTTGTGATTATGTAGTTTTTAAATGTTGTTAGCCGCCTTGAGCATGGTTTGAACTATGTAAAGGTGGCTTATGAATAAAATTACCTATGTACATATGCATCTATGTTGATCCTGGGATACTGTGCAGAAGGGCAATCAATGGAACTTTGGATTTTTGCAGCCTCTCCTCTAACATTTTACATCCCTCTCTTTTAGTAGCTACAACTGCAGAAGAGTAAGTTTGTAGCCTGAATCTCAACCAATCCTTGGGAAGCAATGGAGAAAGTAGACACAGAGACTTTAAGGGAGAAGCCCCACAAGATGACTGTGGACCAGAAAATGAGAGATTTATTCCATCACTTTCCTAAGCCAGGTGAAAACAATGCTTTGCTTATCTATTTCCTGCCCAAGAGAACCTCTGAAAACCTGCAGTGAGCCTTAAATTAAATTAGAATTTCCATTATCCATGTAGGCTCACAGGGGCATAACATCCTGGGGGGACAGGGAGGCTGTGTCTCCTGGGGGCACAATTTTGAGGGGGCGCAAACCAAGCACCCGTATGCAGGTGCTGGCTTCTGTGAGGATTCCTGTCCAGGCACGTCCTGGTGGGCCCTGCCCTCAGCTCCTCATCCTTCCCTGCCTGCTGCAGGGCTATCTGGGCCCCAGAGTCTGACCTGGCATTGCCGCTACATTCCAGGCCCCTCCCTAAATGGCCAACCTCCTCTCTGAATGGCCGCCTGACCAACGCCTAGTGCTCACCTACTCCTCGCTCAGTATGCTATCCCAATGGTGAGTGGGCACAGATGAAGGGAAGCAGACAAGGGGCAACCCGAGCAAAGCCTGGCACTCCTCTCCAAGGGCATCAGGGGGATTCACCTGCCAAGGGCCACAATTTGCTACCTGGCTTCCACCCAACGTGGGCAGGCAGGCACTGCAGTGCAGCATCAACAGCGAGGGCTGGCTTTCTGGGGCAGGTTCCCTTCATTTTCCGCATCCCACGCCCTAGTGTGCGTGCGTCCACCTGGCTCCCACCTGCCCTGGAAACCAGCAAACCATGCTACGTCACCGTATGCATGTACACCAGCTGAGTGAAACGACATTTCCCATGGGGATATTTTCCATGTTGGTGGTTTAACATAAAAGCAATGAGGACTTGTTCCCCAAAATCTAGCTGTGTTAGTCTGTTTCAGCAAAGAACGAGTGGTACCTGTTGGACTATTTTCCTAACAATATAAGCTTTCATGAACTACAGCTCATTTTACCAGATGCATGAAGTATTATCCTGAATTATTGGGTTATAGAATTGGGAGGGGGAGGAGGGTCGTAAACAATCACGACTGTTTTTTTAAAGTACATATTTCATGGACGATATTGTGTGCAAATATACTTGCTGATAACCAAATAGATATCCTGCTTCATTAGCTAACCTCATTCATTCATTCATTCATTCATTCATTCATTCGTACATGCATGCGTGCTCTGTGCCCTAGGTTATTTTGCTTATGCCTTTCTCCCATTGTACAGGAGGGCAAGAACATGGTCAGAATCACAACTCCTCTAAAAAGCAGGGGCCTTTAGTCAAAAGGAAACTGATACACACACCAGCAGGGGGAGTCGGTGGATTTCACCTGGAGAAACCAGTCAAACTAGCGTCCTTGGGTTTCAGCCAGCTTGGATCCCATTGGATTAAAGCTGAAAACAGCCAGACAACTAGGCTGTCTCTTTGGCAATATATAAACCTGTGTTCTTAATACCAAATGAAAAAAGATACACTAGGAACACATTTAATGACTTGCATGCGCAATATCTTAAGGATAGAGGAAGTCCTAGACTCACATCAGAAACTCCACAATGTTGCCACCATGGAAAATGTGTTGTGCCAACCATAGCTATTACCACTTCATGCAAAAGGGGGAGAAAAGAATTGCAACTCCAACACAGAAGAAAATGTTATGTCTGAAAAGTTGTTTGTTCCTTCTTTAGAATATTCCATTTTTTCTTGTGTGTTGATAAATTTGTGTTACTTCTTTTTATCACAGATCCTTCCCTTCGGTTAGGGAGCCCATGGCTCTACAGGGTTTGGGATATCAACCAGAAGTTCCTGTTCCTGAAGAACAACATGCTGGTAGCAGCTCCCAAAGGTGGCAACTCACCCGGTAACAATGATCACGATCCCTTCACATCTCACAGCTGCGACCTACACTGTTACCGATCGAGCACTTGTGCAAATTCTGGGACTGGGTAACCAGGTGTCAGGAAGTATCTGATACAGCAGCACTGTCTTCAAGTAGGGTCAGAAATGGTGCTCCATAACTTTTCCATGGTCACACCCCACTCTTATCACACTGATCTTTGCCTGTTTTTTGCTTCCAGATTACTTGTTGGCTATGACCCCCAACAGAGGAATAACCCCAAAAGATGGAAACACATTTGCCATCTTTATGGGCACCCAAGATGGAGCACAAACCCTCTCCTGTGGTGAACCTGGTGGTCAACCTCAGCTGACCCTGGAGGTCGGTTTCACTTCTGGTTCAAAGCCACATTCGATTGTTTCAAATTTCTTCTGCTTGTTCTGTGGCATCCACCATGACAAAGATTTTAGATATTCTCTGCTGTTTGCTCACTCTTTTTTCTTAATCAGGGAATCCAATGGACATCTTTGCTAAATCACTGCATTCCATTCTTCTCTCTGTTATCCTTCTGGGCTTCTTCCCTCTACTTTGTCTTCTTAGCCTTTCTACTGGGAGAGGAAAAGATCTACTGAGGTTTTTTAGGGCTGCTTCTGTCCTTTTAGTGAAAGCAAACACTTCCTGATTGTACGTTCTGCACTCTTCTCCATTAGTGATGAATTTCTCCTTAATTATCCAGCTTCTGGTTCTATTTCCTGTTTTGTTTTTTAAATTCAGGAGTGAAACAATTCCTGTTTTGGTATATAAGCAAAGATTCAAACTTATGAAAGGCAGACAGGAATTGAAGCTGAAGAACCAGTGGTGGTTCAGATCTTGTTGGACCTTAACTGCCATCGGCCCCATCCTGGACAGCCAATGGTCAGAGATGATAGAAATTGTAGTCCAACAATGTCTAGAGGGCCACAGGTCCTCCCATCCTTTGAATGAAAGGCTTATCTCATGGCTGAATGCTTGGTGTATTCATGACACAATCCAGATTTAAACTTGAGGCTTCCAGTAAACTTTGAATTTGTATATGATTTGGTTACAATTATTGGGATTTAGCCCCCAAGTCTCGCTTTCTACCAGGCAACTGATGGCATTCATTTGTGATGTAGCACAAGCTTTCTTTCTACTAAACCTTTTGTATGCTTTTTTATCTAAAATAGAGTAAAGGCATTATGGATCTCTACAACGATGACAAGGAACACAAGAACTTCACTTTCTTTTGTAAAAGTGGCAGCAGCACAGAGACTGGCAGCTTTGAATCTGCAGCATTCCCAGGTTGGTTCCTAAGCACGTTGACTGAGCCAAACCAGCCGATTCGTTTGAGTCATCAAGGAGGTGCTGAGATCACTCAGTTTTATTTTGATAAAGTAAAAGGTGATTAGAACTTCTGAAAGAGGAGGGAGGTTTTAATGCCAATGTATGTATATCATAATCAAGTAGCAAAATGCCTTTCAGTTCTAACATGTTCAGAACTTCCAGTATTCACTCAAGCTACAAAAACACAAGGAAATTGCATCTATCAAGAGTAGGGATGGCTGGATATGTCAATTTTGGTTGCTCTCGGTTTCTCATTTTTCCAGTCTTGTTCAGTTCTCCTCATTTCCATATTAGTTTGCATTTTGTTTTAAAAAGAGTCCTTGTGTTTAATCTTGTATTTTATTCAGATGTTTTATCCTAAGCTTGTTTCTTTGTCCTTATCTGCTCCAACATTTATCAGTTAAAAAAATCCTAACTGGTATTTTATTTATCTGTTTTTTTTTTATCCTGGTCTGTGACCGTAATAAAGTTCATTCATTTTGTTTTAAAAAGAGTCCTCAGGAATATTCATCAGCATTCTGGTGCCAATTTCTCATTAACCTTTACATTTCTGCATGCAATTGTACCTAGAGTCCTAGAGTCCTGTCTAGTCAAGTTGCATGGGATCACTTCCAATCTGTCACCTCTGAAGATGTGGACAGGCTGCTTGGATGAGTGAAACCAACCACCTGTCTCCTTGATCCTTGCCAATCCTGGCTCATAAAAGCGAGCCAGGAAGGGCTGGGCGATGGGCTCCTTGGGGTGGTGAATTCTTCCCTCTGTGCGGAAACCTTCCCAGACTCACTGAAAGAGGCAGTTATTAAACCGCTTCTTTAAAAACCATCTTTGGACCCATCCAATATGGCCAACAATCACTCAGTTTTAAATCTCCCATCTTGAGGCAAGGTGACTGAGTGGGTGGTTGCTAAACAACTTCAGGCATGCCTGGAGGATGTGGACCATTTAGATCCTTTTCATTCGGGATTCAGGCCTCATCATGGGGCTGAAACTGCCTTGATCTTGCTGGTCGATGATCTCCGGTGGGCTAAGGACAAAGGTGAAAGCTGTTTCCTAGTTCTGCTGGATCTCTCAGTGGCCTTTGCTGGTTTTGACCTATAAAGCTTTAAAAGGCTCAGGACTACAATATTTCATTCGTGTGTGTGTGTGTGTGTGTGTTTTCCGAATTTTAATAAATTGATCCAAATTATTTAAATTTAATACAATTTTTTAAAAATAATCATAATAATAATAAGGTTTCCCGCTCCTGTTACAAACATGTCCGATGCTTCCTGATGTTGCCACTTCTTCTTCTTTAATCACATTCTCATCCTTCTATTAGTTTTAATCCATTTTCGTGGCTAGCCTTCTTGTTTCCTTACAATCAGCACCATTCTTATTTTCCAAACATATATAAAAAATTTCATGTGTTCATTCCTTCTAGCAGGTTGTTCCTAGACCTGGTGTGAAGAGAGATTGTCATTGTTCTTGGTCCATTCCACTCCTTTGAAAACATTCCTTCCATTGTTCAAGGACTTACTGAGCTATAAACAACTCCCCAAGTTGATGTCTGCTCTGCCATTAAAATTCTGGGGATTATTTTCCACAGCTCGCAGTTAAAGATCAAAGTCACATACCTGTATATAAACTCCTGCCATGTGTCCTTAGCAAATTGTTCTCTTCTCCACTCCTGATCCAGTCCAAAGAAAATTTATATAAGATCCATTCAACCTCAGTCAAGAGTGTAGGGTGTAAAAGAAATTGTAGAACCCTTTGTTGAGCATAAATCATTGGCTCCCCTCTCTCCCTCAGTAACAGATAACATCAAAACACCTGCCCATGATTCTTTCATTTTACAGGGGTGGTCAAGAGAGAAAAAGACCATTTAGGAACCATCAAAACAAACATTGCCTTGCCTTCCCTTCCATTCTGGCTATTGTAAGTATTTTTGCGCTTGTTGAAAATCATTGAAATACCTTCATGGCTCAAATCCAGTCCTTTCAGCAGCTGATTAATTGCAGTCCTTTATCATATGCCATTTCAGGAGCGTCCCATAATCAACACCAATATTCCAAATTCATGAGGAACCGATCACAAATCATGCCTGAGACGATTCATCCATGGCAGGGACACAGTTCCCAGGTCGTGTCTGTACTGCCTTTCTAGATACGAGCTTAAGCAACACCACGGGATACTGTGCATTCCCCAGAAACCCCTAAGGAGCATTGCCAGGAATTTTACCTCATAAATCCTGGCTTTCCCCCACCCGAACAGCTCCCCAGTCCTGAAGTGCTGAAGATCTCAACAGACATATATTGTGACATCAGCCAGAAACTGGACTGCAATATCTCAAGGACTGCCTCTCACATATTAACTGACCCTGACCCAGCAATCACCATCTGCAGCTCTACTTTGTGTCCCCCTCAAAAAGAGATCTGGTGTGTGGCAACATGAGAATGGGCCTTTTCTGCAGTGTCTCTCCATTTATGAAATGTTCTCCCCGGGGAGGCTCGCCTGGCACAATCATATCTTTAGGCACCAGGCAAAAACTTTCCTCTATTGCCAGGCCGTTAGTCCTTAACTATCTGTGAAGTGGGAGGAGTGTTAATGTATTTCTTTTTTCCTATAGACTTTAATGTATCTACTGTATGTGTGGTGTTTGTTTGTTTATTTATTTATTTATTTATTTATTTATTTGGTTGGTTGGTTGGTTGGTTGGTTCTAGGTCGATTTGGGTTGTCCTGGGCAAGATAAAGCAAATAACAAATTTAATAAAGAATAAAAATAACAACAAATGGAGAAGCGTCGGGGTTTCTAGGGGATGATTTCCTCTGTGTCATGTATTTTCAATGACAGCTCCCTGGTAATGGCAGATATTCTCCTTTAAAGCAGCAGGTCACATTTAGTCCTATATTCTCGCCATATAAAATTCTGTGATCTCCGTGGCTCCTTGGCGGCTCAAACCAACAGGCTTGTTTGGCTCAGGAGAAGTGCTTATGAACCAGCCCGGGAATGCTGCAGATTCCAAGCTGTACGTCTCTTTGCCACCAGGCTTTCTGAAGAAAGTGGAGCTCCTGAATTCGTTCACCTCATTGTACATTTCCTTAATATTTCCAGGCTAAAAGAAAACAGAAACGCAAAGACTTGGGTAGAAAGAAAAGTTGCATTGCATCATTTGCAGTTGCTTGAGAGAAAGCAAATGTTTGTGGGAGGGAAGGGGAGGATCCTGGAAATATGGGCTTATTTTTAAATACCCTAAAAATAGCTTTTTAAAAATATATTATTGTTTTTAAACTTTTTAATATGGTTGCACTTTATTTTTAATTGTATTTTTCTATTGCTTCATTGTTTGCCACCCTGGGCTCCTTTGGATGAAAGGCAATGTAGAACTTTAATTGATAAAAGCAACAACAGTGCCTACTAGAATGCATTCATTCATCTAAACGTGTAAGTTTTTGTTTTAATGGGGATAATAATAATAATAATAATAATAATAATAATAATTTATTATTTATACCCCATCCAATCCATCTGGCTGAGTTTCCCCAGCCACACTGGACAGCTCCCAAACTAGTGTTAAAAACAATACAGCATTAAATATTAAAAACTTCCCTAAACAGGGCTGCTTTCAGATGTCTTAAAAATAGGATAGCTGCTTATTTCCTGGACATCTGATGGGAGGGTGTTCCACAGGGCGGGCGCCACTACTGAGAAGGCCCTCTATCTGGTTCCCTGTAACTTGGCTTCTTGCAGTGAGGGAACCGCCAGAAGGCCCTTGAAGCTGGACCTCAGTGTCTGGGCAGAACGATGGAGGTGGAGATGCTCCTTCAAGTATACTGGACCAAGGCACATCACTCTTAGCAGTCCCCCACCCCATTCACAGTGGCTCCTCAGAGAATAGGAGGGACTGCTGGTCTCCTCCCACCCCTAGGGAGAAAAGGGAAGGGCCTGCCCTCTGGGCCCCATTCAGAGTGAGCCAAAGCAGGCCCTTTCCCACCCATGATGCCCTTTGATTCCCAGTTCAACCATTGAGTAAGGTTGGTTTGATTCCTTGCTTTGTTCCTAAGGTAGATCTTCCCACCTTCTTCTGTGGCAGGGGGCACCGTTTTGTGGTTCGCCACAGGTACTAAAATGATTGGATCAGCCCTGGACAAAACTCACCACTGCCTTTAGTTGAGGAGACCCTCCTCCAGATTCCACACAGGACAGGACACGTCCATTGAAGCCAATAAAGATTACATTTCCCGTAATACCTCTGTTGGGATATATGTCAAATACTACCTCTAGAGACAAAAAAGAAAACAGGGACAGTACCGTGAGAGGGAGTAAATCATGCATTCTTATTTGGTACAGGAATTTTGTAGGAGAAGCCAAAATGGAAGGAAGGTTTTCAATAGGATGGGAAACTACTGATGATCCCCTCAAAATCAAATATGTGTCTATACACATGATCACTACAGTAGACACGTGTCCAGTTTTCATGAGTTTCTGCTACATAGTGCCGGTAACAGATGCAAAAGCAGGTGAAGCAACAAATACAGTTTACACAAACTCACTCTATGACCTGGGAGACCAGGGTTCGAATATCCACTCAGCTTAAGCTCACGGGGTGGCCTTGGGCCAGTCATTGAATCTCAACCTAACCTACTTCACAGGGTTGTTGTGAGGAAAAAATACAAAGGAAGAGAACTGCATATCTCATTCTCCCATTTCCTTTCTAGTTTTGCAGTGGTTCTCATGAAATCCACAGAAGTCACGGAGCACCATTTCTAGCTTTTGTTAAAGGAGATGTGGTTGAATCAGATACCTTCCTGACAATGCTATTTTTCTAGAAAAATTGCTGCCGGAACTCACCATGAACACTGTTATGTACTGAGTTGAATAGGATCCAAAATGCAGCAGTCTGATTGGTCCTAGAACAATAGGACTCAGAATGCAGCAGTCTGATTGGTCCACAGGAGCCACCCAATCCAGCTCCAGGTGGAAGTGAATCCACAACCGGATTGGCCTACAGGAGAATCCCGGAATTAGCCAATCACATGGGGCCCATTGTGTAAATAATGTATATAATGGAGACATCCTGGGGGAACTTCCATTCCTCCTCACCACTATGAGCTGAATAAAGAGCATGAAATCCACTCTCGACTCCGAGTATATTTCAAACACTTCCCTTGTTTTCTTATAATGGCAATGGTGCTGGAACTAAGTTCCGGTGAGTTCTGGATGATAAAAAACCCTGTTTCCTGATTCCTGGCTACTCAGCTCCAGAATGTAAACAAG